TGTAACTAGGAGTGGTCTGGCGCCAATGATGCCATTCTTGCAACCAGTGTTGCAAAGTTCTTCGAAATTTATGGCTTCTGGGGGAATGGCGAGATATTGGGTCAAAGTTTTCTTTGAAAATTAGAGTTTTAGCTGTTTGGATATGGTGTCGTAATTGACTTCGAAACCGATTACGGCATCATACTTTAGCCGGAAAAATTGCTGCTTTATGCCTTACCTTACCTCTAAAAAAATCGATTTTCGTGCTGAATTTAACAGAGAATTTCATGTCGTAATTGGTTTTTCCGCCACGAAACCACACGAAAATTGTTGTTTTCCAATCGTTTCAAAGAAGTCCAGAGTTTAAAGCGTAAATATACTTTAGTAGTCGAGTTCCTTCATGATTGCTCTTTCGGATTTGATGTCGTAATCGGTTACGGGGCCCTGCAAACGCGATTGAAACCGATTTTTCGGGCTATTGGAGTGTTTTGAAAATTATTTCTGCGTGAAAACGGCGAGGAATTCCCACTGACTTTCGCAGGCCAAAAATTTTGGATTTTTTTCTAACGCCGTTCAGAGTACGCTAGCGTAGTTCAAGACTCCGAAACTGATACAGATATTCTCATCTTTTGGTATTTTCACTGCCTAAAATTTTTAAATATTTTGGTATTTCTTTTAACGGCCGGTTGCGGAACCATTGACCCCCTATTGATGCCAGAAATCCATCACACTGTCTAGCCAGCCATCAACCAGATATATTTGAGACACCACATTCCCCTGTATTCCATCGGCCCATTCTCAATTCTCAAAACCCCCCTCGGCCATTTCGTGCCGATTTCAAACACTGTCGCAAAGTGTTTTTGCCCCTGGGCGCCCGCGATTTTGCAAGAATCACCCCGCCAGCTAGCAACGAAAGAAACCCGGGGCCCGGTGCCAGTGTTTGTCGCGGAAATAGCCGGCCATTCAATTCAGACACCAACACAGACAGTCAGCAACAACCGTTTCCGGTAGCTCGCCACGAGACCCAGTCGGACCATCATCATGCATTCCCGAATGTCAACGAAAAACGGAAGCTGATGCATGGAGCGGTGATGAAAAATGTGTGTGTAAATATGAGCCCAGGAAATCGCCTGCTTTTTCCGGTGAATCAGGAATGTTTCGGACTCGAAATTTCTGGAAATGTAAGCTCAAGCAAGCGGCCAGGTTTTCTGGAAAGTTCTGGGAGTGCAGAAAATCCAAAAAAAATCATGAATGAACTCCCGACAGCCAAAACACCCGACAGTCAAAATCCCGATAGCTCAAAATAGCGACAGCCAAAAATCCCGTAAAACTAAAATACCGATAGATCGAAATCCCTACTGTCAAAATGCCGTTAGGTCAAAATGCCGACAACCAAAATTGCTACAGCAACAATCCCGACAACCAAAACCGCACAATAAAAATTGCAGGCCAAAATGCCGACAATCAAAATGCCGACAGTCCAAATCCCGACATGAAGAACCCCGACATGAACAATCCCGACAAATCCCGACAGCTAAAATCCTGTCGAGGTGAGGGAAAATCCCGACATAAAAACCATATGCAATCCAGAACGAGAAAATATCTATTAATGCCTTCCACGTTCCTATAATCAACCCCCCGGCAGCAAAATTCACCCCCGCCAACCGCGTGCATCTCCAGAAAGCCGCAAATTTTCGTGGAAATTCGCGCGCGCCGGAGCGCGATAAAAACACATAAACCAACGCCCCGGATGCACCATACACCTGTGCGCAGAATAAATAAATAAATAAATAAATAAATAAATAAATAAATAAATAAAAAATTGGCCATAAATGTGCTGATTTCCCAATGAGGAAAACCCCGGGACGCGCTTCGCGTTCGGACAAATCGTGGCCCGGCGTAAAGGGCACAAAAACACGGTCTGTCTATACAGTATTACAGTACTGCCCACTTTTCCGCGACAATCCGCTACGCTTGCCCCATTTTACAACCTTTTACACAGTCCGACACCTCCCCGCGGTCAGCGCGGTCCATTTTTCCGGGTGGATTTGGGTCATGTTTTGGCACACGGGGGCACGTGTGGCTATTGGAGCGTCGCGTAGTGGGGGTAAACAGCCTACGCGGGGCTACAGTGGACGGTCGTTTTTTGTGGTTTTTAGGATGTGTGTCCTGTACTTGGGGTAAGCTAGCTGACCAGGAGTCGCTTTTAGGTGCTTTTGGAGTTTCGGGAGGGGACCTAGCTAGTTCGATAGAGAAAAAAACTCTGAGCAGCATACCAACATGAGAGCCTTCGGGATGAGCCAGTTAAGAGCTTTTTTGAGAGTAAGGCCGTTCTTCGCTTAAAAGGTATATCGAAGTTAAAATCGCAGGAATGATCTCCTCGTATCCGTAAAAAATTCCCGAGTCCAATTGTACGCCCTCTGTTACCGATTACACCGTACACTCGGGATTTCAGACGATGGTGCGGGGTGTTCGCTGTAAACAGACGGAATCGGCTGATCTGGCTTTTTGGAATTTACGGTTTCGGCCGGCCCTGGCTGACCGTTCTTTGCGTGCGGACTCAGCAAACGGTCAAAATACAAGAAAAACGCTATCTTGGCTGAAGGATTTTGCGGGGGAGAGAGAGAGAGAGAGCAGCGCTTCGTCGGCTAACGATCCCTCATATTTTCATAAAACCTAAATTTCTCGAAACTTTTCAAAACGAATAATATTTTTGCGATACTTTGTTCCTTCTAGTCATCCCCGTCAACTACACTTAAAACGATCGAAAAATGGTGCAAAACGTAGGATACTTTGCGCGCGCCGTAGTCTAGCATCAGCACTCGGTCGGTGCTCACATGGCCATCTGGGAAAACAGACACCCTTTCCCGGACCGTCCTTCCCTTTCCGCTTTGCATCATCGCAACACCTCGCACATAGCCCGGTGATAATGAACGAACGAAGGCTGTCATTTGGAATTTGGTGTAGTTTGTGAAGGGTGACGGGGTGAAAAACTGAGATTAAGGGTGGCTGATTGAGAGATTTCAGTGAAATATTTTTTAGAATCTCTAGCCGACTTCCTCTCTCTCACTCACTTTCGCTCTCTCACTATCTAGGTATCTCTCTCCTTCTCTCTGGCTAGCTTTAGCTCCCACGATTTGGGGTGGCTTTTTTCTTGCTGGTTCCTTTAAAGTTCTCGCTCATTCTCTCTCTTTCTCTCTCACTCTCTCTCTCTCTCTGTCCCTGAAAAATCCTTCCATAAACCATCTATGCCTGCTTCCTGATCCCATCCCCGTTCTCCCGGTAATTGGGCTCTGATCTCCTAGTCTCTCGCCAAACGTGAGCCGTTCTCTAGTTCAAACTTACCACATGACGTCATTGTCTTCTACAGTTCCACCCCCCCTTACCAAATTGCATCATCAATCATATACCCCCACGTGGGGGCAGGCAATCGGCCAACTCTTTCCAAGCTCCGCCCCACCCCGTCTCACTTTCTTTCTCTGCTCCCTCTCTCTCCCTCTCTCTCGCCGCCCCCCTCGTGAGTCATCAAGCTCCGCCCCCCGCAAGTCTATATAAGCCCTCCCCGTCTAACAGTCTCCACCAAAGCCCTCAAGCTTCAAAAGCCTCCTTCTACTCTCAAAGCTCCAAGCTCCACTCCGCTACCATGTACACCGTTGTCGCCGTTTTCGACCGCATCGACTCGTTCTCGGATTTGATGCTGTAACCCGGCTGCCGATTTGGCCATTTTTGATGGCTTTTCCGCTCGATTCCACGGCTGCTTTGACGACATTTTGAGGTGAGAATTGTTTATTAAAACATATTAAAATCGTTTCATTAAATTTTTGAGGCTTAAAAACGGTTAATTATACCTTAAGTCCCCTGAGCCCAGTTAGAAAATTCTTCCAATTTTTCCGGCCGTTCTTGCTGAATTCCCAGCTTTTAAAGTAAATTGGAAAATCACTCTAGATTACTAATTACACCATCAAAATCCTTGATTTTACAAAAAAAAGCAAAAAGTTTCGCCGCGGTCGGGACTCGAACCCTCGAGGCCAAACCTCCTGGTCCCGGACACTTACCACTAGGCCACAGGGCATCGCCACGTAAACCCCCAGCCTGTCTTAAAAGGAAGCGCGGGTCGCCTAGTGGGCCAGGTCGGAGACGTAGAGAACCACAACCCTTCAGCGTAGAGTATCGGAGCGTAACTTAGCCTAACATACTTTAAATTACCACAAAGATCCATTTCTAATCCACTATTTTCAGTCGCCCTCCTCGCCCTCTGCAAGCCCTACCAAATCCAGCTCTCCAGTCATACCGCGTCGATGATCTCCGCCCTCCCCGTTCCCTGATACTCAACCCACAAACCAACACGACGTCCTCGCCAAGTTCAGCTTTATCCAGATTTCTATACACCTTTATCGCGTGAATGCATTTATTGTCTGTACATTGTTTCCGCCCTCCAAAATATGCAATGATGATTTGCTCGTACATTCTTTTGCCGGGTACCCAGTCAACGAGTGACACGAGTATTTATTGTGGGTGCTTTTTAATGTTGAATAATACCCACCACTGTTGTATAAGACGGGTGAAATGATATATATGCACATAAAGATGATGCTATATTTGAGGGAAATTTAAATGCACGCAACCGAGAGAGAGAGACAGAGAGAGAGAGCGTGCGAGTGAGCGAGAGAGGGAGAGTGCGGGATGAGTGAATGAGAGAAAGAGAGAGAAGAGAGCGTACGAGAGAGAATGAGAGAGTTAGAGAGAGAGTGAGAGAGAGAGAGAGAGAGAGAGAGAGAGAAAGGGAACAAGCGGGAGGGAGCGAGCGTTAGAGAGAGAGCGAGAGAAAGCGAGAGAGTGAGTGTGTGAGGGGAAGTGAGAGAGTACCCCGCCACGTGCAATTTGCATACCTAATTTGAATTCTCATTATTACAACAAATTTGAATTCCCGTACGCACTAAAATCGAGTACCGTTCGGCACTCGTTCGTGTCGCCCGGCGTTGGGGTTCGACGACCCGGCTACGACATTTGCCGCCCCCGAGATGATGCTGCCCAACCGCTGGATTCTCGAGGCCGACGCCGTCAAGCTCGGCCGTAAAATGAAACAAGGTCGGAATATGTTATCATAGTGAGGAAAATGCATAGTCCTAATTTTTTGGTTCTGGCCTGTTAGCGGGGGGGGGATTTTTAGTGAGGAGAGGGAGCCAAATTTTTCCCTGTGAGTCTCCACGACCCTAGAACAAAATATAAACCATTTCTACCCCCACCTATCGTATCTCAGCTCCCCCGTTATCCTACAGCTGTATAAAGTATACGAAAATGTTCGTCTTGCACCGGCGAGTATTTTCGTATACTTTACACACCTGTAGAAGAACAGGGAGTCGAGTTACAAAAGTCGGGTGCCGGCTGGGGGGGTAAACTGCACTCTAACCAGCATTTTACATTGTTTTTTTACGGATAAAACAATATAACAATGACTAAAAATTTGGAAAAATTTTGGTTTTTTAGTCAAAAATGCATGAGAAATGACCGAAAAAAGGTCTACCTTTCCGAATTTTCAAAAATTTGAAAAATATTTTTATAACTCTCTAGGGTTCTGTTCTATTTCGTGGGGGGGGGGGAATATGCTTCGCGGAATCTTGCACCTTTTCGCTATTTGCTCGGGATTTTTGCGATTCCCATGCTGCCGCCCCCCGCGAACAGTTCAGAACCATTTTTGTTCATGTCCCGCAATTCGGAAATTTCGTGATTTTCGACATATCTCTGCAGCTGTTTTTGCTAATCCTAAACGTAACAAAGTTACAAAACTCCGAAAATTTCGAAGAAAAGGCCAAAATTTCGAATTTTTGTAAATCTCTTCAAGTTTCCTAGATATTTAAAAGTTAAGCTAGTCATTCCTTTGCTCTAGGTGAATTCGGTGTTCTACACTACGGCAAATGGAGGAGGGAGGCCGATGACGACCTTTCGGTATCGGTGATCGTCATGCACCACTCGGATTTCTCCAAAGAGAAAGTGAGGGCACTACCATTTTTCTTAAGGGAATCGGCAAGTCTGAACTATTATTTTGTTTTGCCATGGGTTTCTCAAAAGCTTGCCGCTCGAAAGCTAAGCCAAGGCTTGGAAGCTTAGCCTGGGAACCTAAGCATCCGAAGATTAGCTCGCTAAGCTAAGCCCGCTAAGCCAAAACAGCTCCAATAAGCTCGCTCGCCACGCCAAGTCCGTAGCAGTTCGTTAAGCCGTGGCGATAGATCGCAATCGTTTCCTCGTTAAAATAATTTATCAGGTCATTCCTGCCCCGCTAAATACCGTCATTTAGATTCAAGAAAGAATCGACGAGGCTCGGTTGTTCCACAGCCTCTCCAGCCCGAACATTTTTCCCCTCCACGGCGTGGTCGTCGAGCCGACCCAGCTGCTGTGCATCTACGAGCTACTGCTGCGGACACCATCGACCAACATCTGCAAACTACGCGTGTCCCGGAAGACGCCCAATCACCTTTATCATGGTACCATTTTACCTAGCTTCTAGATCTAAAAGCCTACAAAAACTCATAAAAAGGTTCGAAGCTTCGCTCAAAATTAAATTTTTTCAAACTTTCTGATTTTGAAAACGAAAAAGCAAGCGGCCCACCGCTAAGAGGCCGGTACCCGAAACCCAAACCCCCTTCCGCTCGATAACCCGGTTGATTTAGGAGATAGCCCGGGGCGTGGCCTACCTGCACGAAGAAGAAATCATCCTCTGCAAGCTGGCGGCCAGCGGCTGCATCGTCAGCAAGGGACTAACCGGAGAGGAGCGCGTGAGTCTCTCTCACTCTCTCTCACGCTCTATCCCTCTCTCTGTCTTGCTCTCTTTCTCTCTCTCTCTCTCTCTCTCGCTCTCTCTATCTCTCGCGCTCTCTCTCTCTCTCGCTCACTCTCTCTCTCTCCCACTTTCATAGCTTCTATTTAGATCAAGCTCAGCGACTTCGAAATGGCACATATGGGAAAGCGACCCGCCACGCCGAATCCCCGCCCCGTGCGACTGGCCCCCGAAACGCTCCAAACCCTCCTCTACACGCCGCAGAGCGACGTATGGAGCTTTCGCGTACTCGGTGGGTAACTGGGTAACTGGACTGAATTCGGTATCATTAGAACGCCTCACAATTCCCCCTAATGGCGAAATCTCTTAGTGTCGAAATTCTATAATAGCGAAAAATTTTGGGATCTAGACTGCTAGAGGGGGGGGATTTTTAGCGGAGAAGGGGAGCCAAAGTTTTCCCTATGATTCTCCACGACCGTAGATCAAAATATAAGCCATTTCTATAGCATTTTACATAGATTTTAGAAATAAAGACATTATAAAAAATCATAAAAATGGTCGCAAGTTTCTGTTTTTTTTTGTTCAAAAATGCACGAAAAGGGATCAAAAAAGGCTAAAAACTTCCAATTTTCAAGAATTTTTTGAACTATTTTGAAGACTGCCTAGCGAACAAAAGCTACTAAAACACTATGAAAATACTTTATATATCATCAACAGGTATAGGTGGAAAAACAAAAAAAATGTTTTCCCCTCTGCTAACCCCCCCCGCTAACAGGCCAGTACCAATTCGCGCATACACAATTCAAAAACACTGTTAATTTCGACATTATGAACTTCGAAGTTCTGAAAACCTCTATCAATTCGTTTAGTATGGGAAATTTACTGGGATGCACGCGAAGATCCCTACGCCGGCGTTCCGGACGAGGAAGTCGCCAACTTCATCAACACCGGGGAGCGGCTTGCCTCCCCCACGGCCAACCAGGATGTGGCGAACGTCATCTCTGAGCAGGACTGGGCCCGCAATCCGTCGGAGCGGGCGACCATGTTCATCGTGGGTCTCGCTGTCTGTCTATCTCTCTCTCTCTCTCTCTCTCTCTCTCTCTTTCTCTCGATCTCGGTTCTTTCGCATTATCGGGGGGGGGGGAGGCGGAACTTTTGTTTGTATAAGTCGAGAAATGCTCAGTAAGTTAATAGAAAATGTTTTTATAGGTTTTTTAGCAATATACCAGGGTTGAAAAACCGCTTCGCGGCTTTTCAACCCTGGCCCCGTCTAAAGCACAAGGTAGTCAAAAATATGCATATTCTTCCAGGAGCCTGATCGCAAAAAAATCAAAAGAACCCCTTCTGCGCCCTTATATAGGCTTACCCCACTTCCGGCGCATGCAAATTGCCTCCTAACAAAGAGGTTTCACGATATCTATACAAAAACTCAATTTTAATAGCGAAAACAGTAATTTTTCCAAGCTTTTATGTGTGTGCACTCATCTCGGCGCCATTACGCACCTAATGACGTATCATACGACCCTTAAAGGGGCTCCGAAATCTGGTCCACGGCCCCCTGCTGTGATTCCTGGCAAATAGCCAGATACGGCCGCAACGCGACCGCGCCGCATGATCTTTTGCCCCTGTTTGGACGCGAAAACGCTTGAAGTTCAAAATTCTGATACTATTTTTGGAATCCTCAACGAATTTTGATCATTCCAGACTTTTAAATTATGAAAATTGACCAGAGAATCACCGAGATCGAGAGATTGGGTGCCTTACAAGTCATTACGACATGGAATCGCCGCGCACTCAATATGTCGTTTTCGCCCCAAAAAGAATTCGGTTTTTCTCAAACATTTTACGTTTTTTCGCAATCAAATCACTTTTTTAACACTTCTCAGCAGTGACCCTTTCGTTTTTTGACCCGTAGGTTCAATCCCCGCACGCACGAATTTTGACTTCTGAGCCCCTTTAAAAACCTTCCCCTGAGGCTGTAGGTGCGGTACATACTCACGGAAGTTGCATGCAAATATACACACACACAAACACTATTTTATTGCTAATTTTTTATATATAGTAGGACAGCTATATCCGACTATATATAAAAAAAATAGTGTCTGTGTGTGTGTCTGTGTGCATTTGAATGCAACTTCCGTCAGGTTGTTCCAGTAGTATCTCAATAAGGGGAGTAGTTAAGGACATGTTTGATACGTTATTAGGCGGGTAATGGCCTGGGGATGACTGCACACCAACAAAATTTTCAAAAATGAGCTGTTTTCGACGTTAAAATTAAGTTTTTGTTGAAAAATGGACCACCCTCTTTGTTAGGAAACAATTAGCATACGCCGGAAGTTGCGGTAGCCTATATAAGGGAAGAGAGGCAGCGTTTCTGATTTTTTGTCATCGAAAATCGTGAGAATTATGCAAAGTGAAGAATATCATCGGATCAGACGGGGCTAGGGTTGAAAAGTCGCGAAGCGGCTTTTCAACCCTGGTTTAGAATATGAAAACTATCCAAAAACGTTTAAAAAATTTTGAAAAAGCGAAGAGGTGTTTAGCAAAACGTTTTGGTAACAAATCGGCCTTTTTTGATCCAAAATTGGTGTTTTTTTTTGTATTTTTGCGATAGAATTTGTGAAGCTTCCACGTTTCGGAGTAGTAAAGAACCATTTAGAAACAAATCCACTATTTATATGTGAAAAATGAGATACTGAGAACGAAAGTTGGTTGCCCCCTCGCCCCACGCCCCACCCGCGATAATATGAAAGAACCGAAATTTGTCAACGCCAGTCGGCGGAGCATCAAAAAATAGCCTACGGGCCTGATTTTGAGATCAAAGTAATGTAGTGTATAAAATAATTGTGGCAAAAAAAGATTTCTTTAGGTCAACCACGCGCTCGACGCCATTGAGCGCCGACTGCGGGGGGAAGTCGAGGACGTGGGCGATGCGGCTCCACCCACCGTCGAACCCGATGCACCTGCTGTGATGCCACTGACGGAAGATGATCGTGAACCGCGCCCACCCGTCGACATCGCAGAAGCTGCCATTCCACAAGCGGCCGATGGGCAGCCCTTCATCGACCCTGATGTATGTGGAAATTATCTAAAAAAAATAGGCCCTTTGGCATTTCCGGGGGCAATTTTTCTAGGATATCATTATCAAATATAGATAGTGACAGTGTTTCTAAAGGGTTATTTATAGCTGAACGTGAAAACGAAACTCTATTAACAAAACTTAAAAAATATCGATTTTTAGACCAAAAATAAGGCCGATTCTTGACCAAAATTTCGACATTTTGCAACATTTTTTAACGTTTTTAGATAGTTCTACAGTTTAAATAAGGCTGTAATTTGCCAAAACCCCCATTAAAAACTTTCTATTCACTCATTCGGCATTTCATGACTTCACAAAAAAGTTCGGTTCCCCTGATACTTCCCCCGGAAATGCAAAAGAACCCAAAAAATACCCAAGAATTTCCTTGTTATGAAATTTTTTAGGCCCACGACGCGAACAGGGCTGCCGGCGCTATCGATCCGCTGCGCGACACGAAGAAGGCCGGCCGTCCGCCAACGAAGTACACCTATGCGGTAAAGGCAACATGATATACCTCCTAACGGTGGACATAGGACGGCATCTGCACGATGTGCACCGACAAGCGCGTCACCAAGGTCAGCACACACTTTCGGGCAGCTGCATGCTCCCGGCACGTACAGATCTTCAAGTGGGGACCTTTTCGACGTAGCCTAAGCCAAGCCTAAGCCAAGCCTAAGCCAAGCCTAAGCCAAGCCTAAGCCAAGCCTAAGCCAAGCCTAAGCCAAGCCTAAGCCAAGCCTAAGCCAAGCCTAAGCCAAGCCTAAGCCAAGCCTAAGCCAAGCCTAAGCCAAGCCTAAGCCAAGCCTAAGCCAAGCCTAAGCCAAGCCTAAGCCAAGCCTAAGCCAAGCCTAAGCCAAGCCTAAGCCAAGCCTAAGCTAAGCATAGTCAACTGTCGATCTTGGTGGTCCCTAAACAACCGTTCCAGAAAGGTGCTGAGATGCTACGAAGAACGGGCCGGGATCTGCTACTGCAAGCCTTGGCGTGAGTCCTCATTGCCGTTTTTGAAACGCGACCCTTTTAGGTAAATGCAATGTGTGCCATTACGCCGACGGGAGCCAACGCGGATTTGGGGCGCCGGATGCCGAAGAGGATGATTAGAGACGAAAGAAGCCGATAATTGAAGTTTTATGCTCATTTGATATCTATTTCATTTAACTACTTGTGATCATATTTGTCGCCGTCCTACAAAATAAAGCCATATCCCTTTTCCACAACGCGGACGATGAAAGCACGAGAAGTACATAGAGAGTGAAAGAGCGAGAGAGAGAGAGAGAGAGAGAGAGAGCGAGAGAGAAAACTGTGGGATAGCTTAAAAAATTAGAAATCGACTGTAGCACTGTAGCATACCCCCAATAATTAGAAATCGACTGCGGGATAGTGATGAGAAGAGGACTTGGAAGTGATGAGAAGAGGCTTCAAAGTGATCGGATGAGCTCGAAAAACCACATCACATCACTTGGAAGTGATGAGAAGAGGCTTCGAAGTGATGTGATGAGGCTTCAAAGTGATCGGATGAGCTCGAAAAACCACATCACATCACTTGGAAGTGATGAGAAGAGGCTTCGAAGTGATGTGATGAGGCTTCAAAGTGATGAGATGGGCTCGAAAAACCACATCACATCACTTGGAAGTGATGAGAAGAGGCTTCGAAGTGATGTGATGAGGCTTCAAAGTGATGAGATGGGCTCGAAAAACCACATCACATCACTTGGAAGTGATGAGAAGAGGCTTCGAAGTGATGTGATGAGGCTTCAAAGTGATGAGATGGGCTCGAAAAACCACATCACATCACTTGGAAGTGATGAGAAGAGGCTTCGAAGTGATGTGATGAGGCTTCAAAGTGATCGGATGAGCTCGAAAAACCACATCACATCACTTGGAAGTGATGAGAAGAGGCTTCGAAGTGATGTGATGAGGCTTCAAAGTGATGAGATGGGCTCGAAAAACCACATCACATCACTTGGAAGTGATGAGAAGAGGCTTCGAAGTGATGTGATGAGGCTTCAAAGTGATGAGATGGGCTCGAAAAACCACATCACATCACTTGGAAGTGATGAGAAGAGGCTTCGAAGTGATGTGATGAGGCTTCAAAGTGATGGGATGAGCTCGAAAAACCACATCACATCACTTGGAAGTGATGAGAAGAGGCTTCGAAGTGATGTGATGAGGCTTCAAAGTGATCGGATGAGCTCGAAAAACCACATCACATCACTTGGAAGTGATGAGAAGAGGCTTCGAAGTGATGTGATGAGGCTTCAAAGTGATGAGATGGGCTCGAAAAACCACATCACATCACTTGGAAGTGATGAGAAGAGGCTTCGAAGTGATGTGATGAGGCTTCAAAGTGATGAGATGGGCTCGAAAAACCACATCACATCACTTGGAAGTGATGAGAAGAGGCTTCGAAGTGATGTGATGAGGCTTCAAAGTGATCGGATGAGCTCGAAAAACCACATCACATCACTTGGAAGTGATGAGAAGAGGCTTCGAAGTGATGTGATGAGGCTTCAAAGTGATGAGATGGGCTCGAAAAACCACATCACATCACTTGGAAGTGATGAGAAGAGGCTTCGAAGTGATGTGATGAGGCTTCAAAGTGATGAGATGGGCTCGAAAAACCACATCACATCACTTGGAAGTGATGAGAAGAGGCTTCGAAGTGATGTGATGAGGCTTCAAAGTGATGAGATGGGCTCGAAAAACCACATCACATCACTTGGAAGTGATGAGAAGAGGCTTCGAAGTGATGTGATGAGGCTTCAAAGTGATCGGATGAGCTCGAAAAACCACATCACATCACTTGGAAGTGATGAGAAGAGGCTTCGAAGTGATGTGATGAGGCTTCAAAGTGATGAGATGGGCTCGAAAAACCACATCACATCACTTGGAAGTGATGAGAAGAGGCTTCGAAGTGATGTGATGAGGCTTCAAAGTGATCGGATGAGCTCGAAAAACCACATCACATCACTTGGAAGTGATGAGAAGAGGCTTCGAAGTGATGTGATGAGGCTTCAAAGTGATCGGATGAGCTCGAAAAACCACATCACATCACTTGGAAGTGATGAGAAGAGGCTTCGAAGTGATGTGATGAGGCTTCAAAGTGATCGGATGAGCTCGTAAAACCACATCACATCACTTGGAAGTGATGAGAAGAGGCTTCGAAGTGATGTGATGAGGCTTCAAAGTGATGAGATGGGCTCGAAAAACCACATCACATCACTTGGAAGTGATGAGAAGAGGCTTCGAAGTGATGTGATGAGGCTTCAAAGTGATGAGATGGGCTCGAAAAACCACATCACATCACTTGGAAGTGATGAGAAGAGGCTTCGAAGTGATGTGATGAGGCTTCAAAGTGATCGGATGAGCTCGAAAAACCACATCACATCACTTGGAAGTGATGAGAAGAGGCTTCGAAGTGATGTGATGAGGCTTCAAAGTGATCGGATGAGCTCGAAAAACCACATCACATCACTTGGAAGTGATGAGAAGAGGCTTCGAAGTGATGTGATGAGGCTTCAAAGTGATCGGATGAGCTCGAAAAACCACATCACATCACTTGGAAGTGATGAGAAGAGGCTTCGAAGTGATGTGATGAGGCTTCAAAGTGATCGGATGAGCTCGAAAAACCACATCACATCACTTGGAAGTGATGAGAAGAGGCTTCGAAGTGATGTGATGAGGCTTCAAAGTGATCGGATGAGCTCGAAAAACCACATCACATCACTTGGAAGTGATGAGAAGAGGACTTGGAAGTGATGAGAAGAGGCTTCAAAGTGATCGGATGAGCTCGAAAAACCACATCACATCACTTGGAAGTGATGAGAAGAGGCTTCGAAGTGATGTGATGAGGCTTCAAAGTGATCGGATGAGCTCGAAAAACCACATCACATCACTTGGAAGTGATGAGAAGAGGCTTGGAAGTGATGAGATGAGGCTTCAAAGTGATCGGATGAGCTCGAAAAACCACATCACATCACTTGGAAGTGATGAGAAGAGGCTTCGAAGTGATGTGATGAGGCTTCAAAGTGATGAGATGGGCTCGAAAAACCACATCACATCACTTGGAAGTGATGAGAAGAGGACTTCGGAAGTGATGTGATGAGGCTTCAAAGTGATCGGATGAGCTCGAAAAACCACATCACATCACTTGGAAGTGATGAGAAGAGGACTTGGAAGTGATGAGATGAGGCTTCAAAGTGATCGGATGAGCTCGAAAAACCACATCACATCACTTGGAAGTGATGAGAAGAGGCTTCGAAGTGATGTGATGAGGCTTCAAAGTGATGAGATGGGCTCGAAAAACCACATCACATCACTTGGAAGTGATGAGAAGAGGCTTCGAAGTGATGTGATGAGGCTTCAAAGTGATCGGATGAGCTCGAAAAACCACATCACATCACTTGGAAGTGATGAGAAGAGGACTTGGAAGTGATGAGATGAGGCTTCAAAGTGATCGGATGAGCTCGAAAAACCACATCACATCACTTGGAAGTGATGAGAAGAGGCTTCGAAGTGATGTGATGAGGCTTCAAAGTGATGAGATGGGCTCGAAAAACCACATCACATCACTTGGAAGTGATGAGAAGAGGACTTGGAAGTGATGAGATGAGGCTTCAAAGTGATCGGATGAGCTCGAAAAACCACATCACATCACTTGGAAGTGATGAGAAGAGGCTTGGAAGTGATGAGATGAGGCTTCAAAGTGATCGGATGAGCTCGAAAAACCACATCACATCACTTGGAAGTGATGAGAAGAGGCTTCAAAGTGATGAGATGGGCTCGAAAAACCACATCACATCACTTGGAAGTGATGAGAAGAGGACTTGGAAGTGATGAGAAGAGGCTTCAAAGTGATGAGATGGGCTCGAAAAACCACATCACATCACTTGGAAGTGATGAGAAGAGGACTTGGAAGTGATGAGAAGAGGCTTCAAAGTGATCGGATGAGCTCGAAAAACCACATCACATCACTTGGAAGTGATGAGAAGAGGACTTCGAAGTGATGTGAAGAGGCTTCAAAGTGATCGGATGAGCTCGAAAAACCACATCACATCACTTGGAAGTGATGAGAAGAGGACTTGGAAGTGATGAGAAGAGGCTTCAAAGTGATCGGATGAGCTCGAAAAACCACATCACATCACTTGGAAGTGATGAGAAGAGGACTTGGAAGTGATGAGAAGAGGCTTCAAAGTGATGAGATGGGCTCGAAAACCACATCACATCACTTGGAAGTGATGAGAAGAGGACTTGGAAGTGATGAGAAGAGGCTTCAAAGTGATCGGATGAGCTCGAAAAACCACATCACATCACTTGGAAGTGATGAGAAGAGGACTTGGAAGTGATGAGAAGAGGCTTCAAAGTGATCGGATGAGCTCGAAAAACCACATCACATCACTTGGAAGTGATGAGAAGAGGCTTCAAAGTGATGAGATGGGCTCGAAAAACCACATCACATCACTTGGAAGTGATGAGAAGAGGACTTGGAAGTGATGAGAAGAGGCTTCAAAGTGATCGGATGAGCTCGAAAAACCACATCACATCACTTGGAAGTGATGAGAAGAGGACTTGGAAGTGATGTGATGAGGCTTCAAAGTGATCGGATGAGCTCGAAAAACCACATCACATCACTTGGAAGTGATGAGAAGAGGCTTCGAAGTGATGTGATGAGGCTTCAAAGTGATGAGATGGGCTCGAAAAACCACATCACATCACTTGGAAGTGATGAGAAGAGGCTTCGAAGTGATGTGATGAGGCTTCAAAGTGATCGGATGAGCTCGAAAAACCACATCACATCACTTGGAAGTGATGAGAAGAGGCTTCGAAGTGATGTGATGAGGCTTCAAAGTGATCGGATGAGCTCGAAAAACCACATCACATCACTTGGAAGTGATGAGAAGAGGCTTCAAAGTGATGAGATGGGCTCGAAAAACCACATCAGATCACTTGGAAGTGATGAGAAGAGGACTTGGAAGTGATGAGAAGAGGCTTCGAAGTGATGTGATGAGGCTTCAAAGTGATGAGATGGGCTCGAAAAACCACATCACATCACTTGGAAGTGATGAGAAGAGGCTTCGAAGTGATGTGATGAGGCTTCA